TGACCATTCCCTTTCTTTTTGAGGGGCTGTTGCCCATCTTTCAACCATGCATGACACCTGGATTCATTGGTGTGAAAGATGCTTTCATCTTGGTAGACAGGTATATGCTCCTTTTTCGCTAACACTGTTGGTAATGGTTCCATTTCGTTGCCATCATATTCACAAAAAAATCTGACACAGTTATGTGATGAGTTTGCACTCTGGAGTGCTGCTCATCAGCTCACCTGCCATATCCCTTTTCCCTTGACATCAGCTCAATGAACTTCTTTCGATATTCAAGGACATCGGGGCGCTCATGGCCATCTGTGTACACCCCCTTTTTTGTTTCTGTGCATCGATATCCCAATTTCCACAGCCACTGTCGAGCCATCCACTCACAGATCTGCTCACTTGTTGCATCAGGGGATAATGAAGGCAGTAATACCTCATTAACATGCTGCATAAGACACTGTGTTGAGATCTGTTTGGATATCGGTAAGCATTGCATGCATTGATTCAAATCTGCATATTCATACCTCACCCAACTGTTGTTCTGCCAGATACCGCTGGACACCCATTGCAACAACCTCATTGTGAAGGAGGCTTTTTTCACCTCCTTTCTTTTGGTGTCTTTTGGGGAGCTTTTGGAATTTTGTTATGTAACGAGTGATCTCTTGAATCCTGTGTGAAAATGCAGGTCCCTTGCCCATATGATGTGCAATAGCCAGGCTTGTTGCTTGTGCTGGTTTTCTGAGCTTTCTTCCAGGAGCTGATTGCCATGTTCAGTACAGCTGCACATATGCAGTCACAGCGGTAAGGAGTATAATCTCTTTCAGAGTTGCTTTTGAAGTGGCGCACAATGCTTGTTTCAGAAGCTGTTGAATAGTGACCAAGATATCCTCTTGGGGCTCATCTTCTGTCAGAACTCCTTCAATCAAGTTATGTACTTGAGCAGTAGAGTTTGGATCAGTGCTGCTGGTGGGGACTCGGATTGGGTCACTCAGTGGGTCAGGTTCGCATTCATCAACCATATCATTGTCTGATGTCTCATCAATCTGAAACAACTCATCAATCATTCAGTCTTTGATAGGATTTAGACACTTGTTACATACCATTTCGCTCCCACATTCATCCTCTAAGTTCATCGCACTCATCGCACTTATCAACTTGTCCAACTTCTCCCCAAATTCTTTTATTGCAGCTTCCAGACTCTCCACTGCTTCTGATCCCCTACCCTTTCATCAAAGCAAACTGGGTCTTCCATTGGAAATCAGACTGCTACAATATCTCACCATCTGGTGTCCAAAACTCGCGAAGACCTCAGCATCACATTTTGTGGCTGCCTTCGCTAACTCTCATTGTTTTGCTCTAATTTGTCGCATATGATGATCTGAATCGCTTGTATGTGCCTTCCAGAGCTTTGTCTAATCAGGAATTTCACCAATTTTATCAACACACAGCAGAATTAAGAATATATGTGGAATTTACCTTGTGGGTGCATTTTGTGACATTCCCCTGCCAGTCTGGCTCATGGAAAATGCTGAAAATTTTAGTCAAGCTTTCTTCAGCATTTTCCCTGGGTCCCTTGGGGCTGTCCTTGTCTGGCTGCACCTCTGAGTCTGTTGAGGAGTCGGAATCCCCAGCCTGATCAAAATCATTGGAGTTGGATCCAGGGTCAGCATCTGTGGAGAGCCTGACATGCTTGCAGAAGAATCTGGAGTCCCCTGCCCACTGCTCAAGGGCTTGTCGCTTGCAAGCACTTAGGGCAGGCATTTTCGGGCTCGGTGTTTGGCAGCACGTGATTTTTGCGAACCATTAATGCGTGATACTGCCCCTTTCTCAATTTCATATATTAAAACTGGGATGTAGCTTTGTTAATGGCATGTCAGATACATGCTCTATGGCATATGTGGCTTTTTATGGGGTTTCCACCTCATCAAGGCATAGTTTCCTAATTAGGATGGCACAGGCAGACATTTCTTGGAATGAAAAATTTTCATTACCCTGAATTATGAAAAAGTGATCTGATAGACTAATAGAATGTACATTTGTGTTGCTTTTCTGATAGTTAGAATGTAGTTTAGACCCGAATTGCAAGTGATGAAAGGGAATCTTCCTGGAAGCAAATGAGGCATCAAAAATAAACTGCCTACACTGTAGTCATGTTTGGCAAGCATCAAAATTTAAAACATGTTTTCCACCTTGTGAAAAAGTCCCTCATCCTACATACAGTTTTTCACCCCCCAATGAGTTTGCCTGCTCAATGATTACCACAAATCTCTCTCATTTCTTTGCATTTGGTAATGAAATTTGGCGTGTATGTACGTAGTTGCTAGGGCTACTTATGTACCAAATTTGAGGCCGAATGGACGCAAACAAAGGGAAAAAATCAGGAATCATAGCAAACCTGAACACAAAAAAGTGGCCATGTGTGCCACTTAACCATGCCAATCTCATATAGCTCTCCCCACCTTACCAAGAGCTAACCAAGCAGCCAGTGGATAAAAGGCCATCATTACACGTGCCAGGCTTTATTTGTTTTGATGATACACAGAAGCCGATCGGAAGCATGTTTCTATCCATCATTCATAACTTTAACCCGAAGAATCCACCAATTAACTATCCCTGATTCCCTGACTCTGATTCTGTCTCGCTTGCTTTTTTTAATGGGTCGGCATGCAAACTCATTAGAGTGCTGTAGGCATCTTGCTGCTGAGGCTAAGGAGCAACACATGCAGAAAACCCTTGCTTCCTACAGAACTCAACTCATACATTCGAAGCAGAGCAGTGAAAAGGCCCTTAGTGCTAAGGAACATGCATTAAATTGTGGGGTTTCCTATCCTACATTTCTATGGAGGCTTGATGCTGGGAAAAGTCGGCTTGAGGCTGCCATGAACCAGTCATGGCTGAATCAGGCAGAAAGTGACATGCTTGTAGAATTCCTTCTTCTTATGTCTGACTGTGGATTCCCTGCTACATGCAATCACACAATGGAATATGCATTGGAGGTTGCCCAGATATAGCACCCACACCTTACTCAGCTTGGCAAAAATTGGGTTGATGCCTTTTTAGTGTGCAACAAGGGCCAACTTGATGCCAAATGGAGTGCTAATCTCGAAAGTACCTGGGGTGGTGCCTTGAATCCCATAGCTGTCCAGCACTGGTTCCAACTCTTACAAGCCCATTTCAATTTTAGATGTGAGGATGTTTATGGAATGGATGAGAGTGGCTTCCCTTTTGGGATGGGAGAGAGGGTCAAGGTCATTGGATGCAAAATGACAAAAAGGGCTCATGTTCAACGTGATGGAAATCGCGAGAATGTGAGTGTAATTGTGACTATCTGTGCAGATGGTACTTCGGTGCCTCCAGTGGTCATTTTTAAGGGTCAGAATGTGAACTCAAAATGGCTGAGGGACAACCCATTGGAGGCCGCATGAGTTTGCAGTTATAATAGTCAACACACACTTATGCTTCCATCTTCCAGAGTTACTGTTTCAGAAAAAGGGTGGACAGACAATGAAATCAGGCTGGATTGGCTTCAAACTTTCAATGAGGCCACACAAGAGAAGGCTGTTGGCCGCTACCGCCTTCTTGTACAGTCATTTGCCTCCGAAATGCACACACCTCTGATGTACACACTGGCAATTTCTCAACCACAACTGGGCTGTTTCACTCCATTTTTTTTGCATAACATTCCACTAGACAATGCCTTCACAGATGCTGAATATTAACTACATTGGCTTCATGGTTATTTCAGGAAACACTGAAATATGCATTTTTAGCAAATTAGCAATTCAATTGATCCATGCTACAGTGTACTTGAGCCCCACTTGTGGCAATGTTGAAGAAGGACAGGAGAACAAGTGCCAATGGGAGTGGATAAGTACTTTTTTGAGCATATTTGATCTGAAATGGGCACTACATGCAGCATAAAGTCACAGCAACCATAGTGCAGCATATAAAAACAGAAAGCGGGTCATGGAAGCACAATAACAAGATGTGGGGCCCAATTCAGCATGTACAGTGGTTCCCATGCCTGATCTATAATTAGCAATGATAGCACACATCAGCAACTTGGGCAATGGCCTTTTCCACACCTGTGCACTTCAGAGGTCATGCATCAAAATCATCCCCCTTGGAAGATTCATTATAACACCATGAAAAATCCATATTTTCTTCCCAAAATTTGCCTGCACGGAGATGAGATGATGGTCTTTTCCTGAATAATTTTTATTGATTTTTTATATATACGAAATTCTCATCTAGGCGCTAAGCATGAAAAGTGTGCATTTCGGAAGTAAATGACTGTAGTGGATGGGCACAACTCACACTATAGTCTTGACTTCATAACCTATGCTCGTCATAACAAAATTGTCATTGTCTGCTATCCTGCACACACAACTCACACTCTCCAGGGACTTGATGTTATCTTATTCTCACTCCTAAAGTGAAGTTTCTCAAAACATTGTGATGCCTTCAATCTGCGAAATTACCCAAAGAAACTGAACAAGTCCTCATTGTTGTCAGTCTTTGGCCAAGCATGGATGGAGGCTATAACCCCAATTCACATCATTATGAGCTTCCGGGAAACAGGTGTCTATCCAGTTGATCCATCAGTTGTTCATCCAGAACAATTGGCACTGAGCATTGAGCATTCCACCCAGGGAAATCTTCCTCTCCCTGTGTCCTCACCTGTGAAGCATGTCATGCATTTTCACAGTCAGTTGATGTCTCACAGATATCAGCGTGACAACACACCTTCACCAATGGATGACTCTCAGGACATCGGAATGTATCTAAGGGACTGTGGTGGTCAGTATAGTGAGGACATAGATGAGAGTGACAGACCAATCATCGACCCCACCATACTTGCTGTGTCTCAAATGACATCACTCCCGTGATTGTTGCTGACACCCTCTGGAACCTGTGATACTTTACATGATTCCACACCCGAGCCTCTCACCATCCCCTCTGCCCATTCCCATGCAAAGAAGCACGCAATGAATGACCTAGAACAAATCATGTCATTCTCCTCATCCTCAAAATGTATTGTGTCAACCTCACCTCTGCGTTCAACCTTTAAACTCCCTGAACGTGTATATGGGCACTTTAACAATCTGCCTCCTATCAAGTGGGAGCTTACTGATGATGTGAACCTGGCATTCAAAACCCACACAGAACTGATGGAAGAGATTGGCAAAACTCGGCATGAGTTTCGAAAAGCCAAGATTGTGGTGGAGCGGGCTGCAATTGCAGTAGATGCAACCAATGCTCAGTTAGCATTGGGAGGGATGTATGCATCCAAGGCTCAGGTGCAGCTTTTGGCAAGAGAGGAAACGGAGAAGTCGAAGGATGAGGGTGGTCACATTAAGGGGACATTTGGCCATGTTGTGACACATAAGGGCTTCTTGAGGGATCAAGCTGAGCGTGCATGACAGAGATCTGACGAGGGAGAACTGGAGAGGCTGAAAGAAGAGGCCAGAGATTGATGGAAACAATTCAATGAGATGCAAAAGGGGGAGGTGGTGAGGTGGCACAGAGAAAAGGCACATTTGGTGGCACTCAAGCAAAAGGTGCCACCAAAGCCATCTGAGATCCTAATGAGGGACTGGCTGGCCGATAATTACCCCAACTTCAACAGAGCAAGCCTCCTGCAACATCGGAGGCATCAGGGGACATGGAACAACCAGTAGCAGGGTTCAGCACGAGTCTGTGAGTGCAATGTCACATGATGTCACACAATATCATTGAGGGGTGATATATGCATTTTGGGGGCCTCCTCGGACATGTACCTCACAGTAGAACATTCTCCATAATTTTAGTTCATTTTGGCAGGTATTTATGTTCTTGTTACTCTACAAATTTAATGAATTTTTTAATGATGCTTCGTGACTCTGAGGTGCAGATTAATGAAATCGGTCTCATTGGGGGGTGAAAAACTGTATGGATGGTTTTTTGCTTGCCTGATGTATCTCTTCTTGCACAGATGAGCCCAGACTTGAACCCAGCTGTCTCTGCTTTGTGGACATGCACAGCTGTAAGGGATTAACCTTACTTCACTATAATTCCAATTATAGTGATATCATTATGTTGCATCGCTATAATTCCCATTATAGTGATGCTATTATTTCTTTATTTATTTGTGCTGAGATATGTAAATTACATATGTCAGAGACCGGATCGAGATGAAGGATTGTCTCTGTGGCAGAGGGCTTCGGCCTCAGCAACTCAAGCCAGGAGTGCTGTGCCAAGTTACATGTCCATGCCCTAATTTACTTACTGGCAACGAGAACTAAAAGGGGGTCAACTCTAGTCGATTTTATTACTGAGGTGTAACCTATGTACCAGTTGAGTATATATAGCTACAGCGAGGGTGGGCCTGTAAATGGCAGGGCCGAGCTAATGGAGTTAAACATTAGCTGATTGAATATTACTGACAAGTCAGGTTATGGGGTTAGCGGAATGGTAGGCAATAACCCAGAAACGGAAAGGAGGGATAGGCCCGAAGGTGGGCTTGCAGGGCAAGCGAGTGAATTGCCCAGCGGAGGTGGGAGTGTGCTAGTGGATGTTGGAGCTGTCCGGAAGCCTTCGGGGCTCCATACTTAGGGAGGCATAGGTAATATATTGAAAAGAGGGGGTGGTGACCATCGAGGGAAGTGGAGGTGATTGCGGAATATGGGAGCTCCAAGGTTAGTGAAGAAGGAGCGGAGGTAGTCTGGAGGGACCGGAGGTAGTGAAGGACGATGGTCGTGGATTCCATCCTCCCCTCGCACCTCTGCCATACTCTCTGGTTCACCTCTGCCTCCGATCTCCAGTACCTTCTCCGGTGCCTCTTAGGATGAGGGGAAGTGGGGATGATGACTAACTGGCTAGAATGGGAAGAAGCAGCAGTCCAAATAGGGATGAGGGGGAAATGCAAAAGATACATTACAAGCAGCGAAAGTGCTGAAGATGATCCATGGAGCTCGGAGGTTGCAGAGCTTACGGAGGTTACGGAGGTGGGGTTGAAAGTCCGAGGAATATTGGCAATGGTGTTTACGTAGTATGAGTGTCAGGGTTCAGCACCCTGCCTTAGGGTGCCCCGGACTCCCCACCTACTTTACCCCCTTTTATTTCTTTGACTGTTGCCTTGTTGTTGCCTTTGTGTGTTGTGTACACACGCGCGCACGGGATAGCATGGGAACTTTCTGAGCGAGCAGCTCGCTCAGAATGTTCCCACGAGTCACAGCCACAGTTCTGGGCGAGCAACTCGCCCAGAACGTTCCCACGCTTACTGGGCACTGCCACCTGGATGTTCCCTCCGGGTCACACTACACAACTCTAGGAGCTGTATAGTTGTGGGCATGTGACCCATTCCTTTATATAGCAACCATGCAGGGAGATGAGACCTTTACCCTTCTTCTCATCTCATGCCCTGCATAGGCAAGTGTATATATTATCTTTCCTTTTACTATACATCTCATGCCCCGCATAGTGTGAGGACAGGTTAGATGGGGGTTGAGGTCAGGGAGCCTCCGAGTCCGAGGCCAGGCCCTGACAATGAGGTCACCAATGCAATGGACTAAAGCCGAGGTGGAGTCAAAGTCCGAGGTAGGAACTATGATGGAGTCTCGGAGCGAAGGTACGAGCAGTGTCCGAGTACGAGGTACGGGACAGCGGTGGAAGGTCGCAACTTGGTGGAAGGTCAGTGGAAGAGGGCCAGAGGGAAGAGAGAGGAAAGAGGAAAGGGGAGAGGAGTGGAGGAGAGGAAAGGTGTCAGGTCTGAAGGTGAGTATCGGAGCAGACGGGCGAAGGGTAGGAGAATGACGGAAGGGTGGAGGTGTTGTGAGGAGGAAGAGGAGTGGGAGAGGAGTGGTGTTCGGTCCGAGGTGAGTATTGGAGTGGACAGAGATAGGATAGGAGAAGGACGGAGGAGTGGAGGTGGCATGAGGGGTGAGAGGAGGTGTGGAGTCAGGACCGGAGGTGAATATCGGAACGGACAGCAGTAGGGTAGGACTCCGGAGGTGGTGAAGGTGGAGGTCCGGGAGTCGGTTCGGGATCGAGTATGTACAGATATGACAGGACCGGAGCATGTGGTGCATGGAGTGTGTGGCATGGGAAGTGCAGCAGGTGGATCCGGGTCCGGGCTAGGTCAGGGTGGGCTCCAGATGGTGGTTCCTTTGGGGCAGGTGGCCTTTGTTGTTATTGAACATGCATGTCTGGTTTGTGTCAGAGATGGAGGTCTCAGACAGTTCTGGAATGGAATCAGAGACTTAGTGAGGAGGGACCTTGGCCTCAGTGACTCAAGTGGAGCACTGTGCCATTGCTGGTTGTCCTGTTGGTCCTTAATTTCAGACATAGGTGTAAAGGGGGAAGGTAGAGCGTCACCATTGGGTAAAAAAATGGCTAGATTTAATGTGTGGCTGTGGAGGTCTGGGGAGGGGGTGAAATTGGCAGTGTGGTTGGGTGTGGGAAATTTGACTTGGGACTGTCAGGAATGATGGGAAAAATAGGGAAAAATAGGGAATGGGTGTATGGAGTGTTGGATAGTAAGGGGATGAGCAGTGGAAGTATTGGCAGGTATGTAGTGTGCATTGTTGGGTAGAACCGACTTTTTGTGGTGCATGGACTTGTCCCCACAACAACGTGTACAGGGCTTATAAACACATGGAACAGCAATAAAGTGGAAAGACAAATGAAAGGAAAATACAAAACAAAGATCATTGTTAGAGAGACCACATGGACAGTTTTGTATGGCTGAAAAGTCCAACAGCTGAGGCAGAAGTTCAATAAAAAGAAAACAAACAGAATAAGCAGGCCATATCCACCAATATTTGCTGTCTTCCACTAATTTCTATCCTCATCTGTCTCCTCCTACCCATAGCATCCCTTCCTGACCTCTCCATTTGATTCCCCCAGTCCATACCTTTCTACCAATACCAAATTTGTCCCAAATGGATGAGATTTGACCTAGTGGTGGGCATGAGAATCGTGAAATTAGCCCATGCACAAGGTTAAACATCCCAGAAAGTGTCCACAAAAGTTCCTAGGTCAACTGAATCTGTGTTCACATGTTTTGTGATTTTTCTAAAAATTTCCGGGCACTCCAGAGTGCATTTTGATAGTTTGTTTCCTTCAGAATGGCTTGTGATTTCCATTATGGGCTGAAAACCAGTTTTGCAATCTCCCAAAGTACAGATCTCAGCTCTGCCACATGGGACTCTCAGCACCACCACCCTCATGTGTCTTTCGACATTGTGCAGAATGATAAGAAATCGTCACCATCATTGCTCCTCAACAGCTGGGTTGATCTGGATGAAACTTGGGGAATCCATGTTTATTATTCTTTATTTTTTGAGCTCTTGCTTGTCTCTTAGCAACCAGTAGCACCAAGTGTAGTTTTTGGGCTGGACCAATTCAGTACTAGCACCTTATGCAGAATTGTACTCCATAGAAAATGAAATAAAATGTGCTTATGCTCTGTGAGCGTTGGCAGATGGTCCTCCATGCAGGGAACCCATATGGAACATGCAGCACAAAATATTCTGGTAGTGAAGGGTATAGTAGGTTATCCCACCTACAACAGATGGGAATAAGGTAGGACTCCGGAGATGGTGGAAAGGGTCTGGGAGTCAAATCAGGATTGGGTATGTATGGATATGACAGTTTGCCACTTCAACTTCATTTTCTTTTATTTCTAGTCACTTCCCCATCACTAGCATAGGTTCTGAATAGGGTTTGATAGGCTTGGGTTCTGTTGTGAACCCACCCAGGGGAGATCTGAAACACTACCCAGGCAGGTGTGTCTGATGGAGCTCGGTGTTCTGGGTTGTCCAACAGTGGGTCAGAGACTGACCAGAGGTGGGGCAGAGCTCCAGGGGTGATGGGGTGTTGAAGGGACTTGGCTTCAGTGACTCGGAATGGAGCACTGCGCCCATTACATCCTCATTGTCCCCAATTTGTCAGGGGGGCTGGCGACAGAGGAACTTAGGCTGCCAGCAGAAGGGCACCAGAAGCCCCCCCTCACTACTTAACAATGGAGGCATTAGCAAGGGTCAATTGTTCATCACGTGATTCATTGGTTTTATACCAAGGCACCTTTAGGCGCATCTGTTACTCAGCTCTTGGTTCAAGGTGGAGCAGCAGGCAAGTAGAGCATGATAGATGTCATGGAAGAGGGTTTGGGTTCAAGGGCTGAGGACTTATATTATAACTGGGGGGAACTATTTACTAGAGTGGTATGTGCATACATATAGCAGAGATAATTGGATCCGAAGGTAAACAAAGGTTACCAAGGGGAAGTAGAACAGACTCCACAGGACAAATATAGAATAGGTGAAAAGCCCAAATTACATCTGAAGTTTGTGGAGTGGGAGGATTAGAAGCCAACTAAATGGTAAGGCCTGGGCCCATCTATGAATGAGCAGGGGACTACAGGGGAAGATGTCCAGAAAGG